GGAAGATGTTGAAGGACTTAGGCATGTACAAACAGAAGCTACCAAGATCATGTCAGTTTAAAAGTTTCAATTTCAGAAAATCTAGTGTTTCATGGTTGAACTAAGCATATCAAGATCAACTTTAATTTTATTAGAGAAGTTCGACAATCTAATGAAGTGTTGCTTGTTCATTGCTCATCTGAGAACCAACTAGCTGGCATTTTCACTAGGTCACTACCAAAGGAAAGGTTTGAAGATCCAAGGCAAATAATTTGTGTTTGTAACCAAAAATATCAAGGAGAAGTGTTAGAAAATTGACCTTATGAAGAACTTAAGATACAATAAGCTCAAATAAAATATAACTGGAGGAGTCTGAGAAAATAGTTTCCAGAGAATAAGAACAATGGGCTTCGCTAGTATTCAGTCAATTAATGATCTTATATAGAATTACAACTTTAATAGAGTCACAATCCCACTAAACCACTAACTAAATCCACTAACCTAACTCTCCTAAACTATAGGGAAAAGCTATCTTCTACTCTAGAAAATAATAGAATATCCACGTACTAATAAAATATCAAAGTAACAACTAAGATAAGAAATAGTTATACTACAGAAATTGGTCAAACTAAAATAGGAATGATGTTGTCAACTTTAACACCCCTTCTCAACATTAGCTCTCCGTCTTAACCATGCCTAGCTTCTTGTAAAAACTCTTCAACTTTTTGACACTAAAACCTTTGGTGAACAAGTCTGCAATTTGATGTTCCATTTTGATGTGCTCCAAACCAATCTCTCCTTGCAACACTTTTTCCCGGATAAAGTGGTAATGTATCTCCACATGTTTAGTCCTTGCGTGGAAAAATGGATTTTCAACCAAGCAAATTGCTGACTGATTATCACAGTACAAAATAACTTTATAACCTACTGGTTGTCTTAGATCCTTCATCAACTGCATAAGCCATGTACTTTCCTGAGCTGCAAATGCTGCTGCCTGATACTTTGCTTCTATTGTTGACAGCAACACTGTTGCTTGCCTTTTACTGCGCCAAGAAATCACTCCAGCTCCAAGCTTAAACACAAAGCCAGTAGTTGAACGACGGGTATCATGGTCTCCTCCATAGTCAAGAGTCATAGTATCCGATTAGTTTGCATTCTTCACCTTTCTTATACAACAGACCATAGTCAATTGTACTATTTACATATCTCAAGATTCGATGAACTCCATTCAAATGAGACTTATTTGGATTTTGCATGTAACGACTTACACACATACTCAGGATAATCGTGACTCTGAAAACCTAATGGTTGATACATGTAAATCTCTCGATCCAACTCTCCGTGCAAGAATGCATTCTTTACATCCATTTGCCATAGGTTCCAATCTTTACTAGCTGCAAGTGCAAGTAAGACAGTAGTAAGATTTTCCACTGGACTAAACGTTTCATCATAGTCTAGTCCATATTGTTGAGAAAAACCCTAAGCTACAAAACGAGCTTTGCGCCTTTCAATTGATCCATTTGTGTGACACTTTATCTTGTAAATCCATTTACAGGAAATAGGTTTGGCATCCCTTGGTTTTTTCACGAGCTTTCACATTTGATTCAGTTGTAGCGCAACAACTTCCTCCTCCATAGCCTTAATCCACTTTGGATTCTGGAATGCTTCCTCAAAAGTTTCTGGTTCCTTTTCATTTTTATCTTCTACAATGGCAGCATTGGCAAACTTGGGATTTTGCTTTCTGATCCTCGTTGACCTTATGAGTGGAGGTGGTGAATCTGCTCCAATTAGTTCACCTTCTTCACCTGGTTGTTTGTACATACCAGTTTGCCACTGATTTTGAGTCACAACTTCATCAACATTGTCTTCATTAGCTTCCGCCCAAAATTGTCCCGGGATATTTTTGCGTGAAGTAGGCTCCAACAGATTTCTGCTAGGTGTCTATTCTTACTTTCTGCTATGCCATTTTGTTGTGGCGTATTTGGACATGTGATCTGATGGCGTATTCGACACTTTTCAAGAAATTCAGAAAATTCATGTGAGTTATATTCCCCACCATTGTCAGTTCGTAGACAAAGATTTTTCTGACCAACTTCTCCTTCAACAACCTTTTTGAATTCTTTGAATTTTGAAAATACCTCATACTTCTTTAAAAAATAAATCCACACGTACCTCGAAAAAATATCAATGAATGTCAACATATAGTTCATTCCACCAATAGAGAGTTGTTTGACAGGGCCGAACATATCTGAGTGAATTAACTCTAATGGTTCCTTGGCTGTATATTTCAAATCCTGATATGGCAACTAATGCGCTTTACCATACTGACAACCTGCACATATTACATCCGTCCTTACTGGAAGTTTGGGAAGACCCTTCAACATTGACTTTTCCATCATGACTCTAGTTTAAAGTAGCTAACGTGACTCAACCGCATGTGTCATAAGTTCTCCGTCTCATTCTTCCTTGTCTTGTCTATATATGCGGTTTCTGCCGACATTACATAAATAGAATTTAACCTTTGCCCCTTCATCACTAGCTCTTCTTTAACCTCAAGATCATGGTATATTCTTACATCTTGCGGACAAAATAGAACATAATGACCCGAAGATGTCAATTGAGCTACTGAAAGAAGATTTTTCTTCATACTTGGGAGATGATAAACATTTTGAAGCAGCATCAGATCAGCACAACTATTTGGAGACACAATAGTCTTACCAATGTGAGCTATCGGTAATTTTATGTCATCTGTTGTCACCACTTCAAGACTTCCCTTGTACTCGGACAAACTTTACAGCTTCTTTTTGTCACCATTCATATGGTTTGAGCATCCCAAGTCAACAATCCAGTCATTCTCATAGTCAATTTGTTTAGAGATTGTTACTGTAAGAGATAACTCTTCTTGTTCTATAGCAAAGAACGTTTCAGCATCCTAATCATCTTCACTATTTTCCGTTGGACCGGAGGTAGCAACAACATTGCTTTCAACAATCCTCTTTTTGAACCAACAAATATTGGCTTTATGTCCCTTCTTCCCAAAGTTATGGCATTTCCCTTCAAACCTCTTGTTGTTGCCCCAATTGTTCTTTGAACTTCCACCTGGATGAGAGCTTCCTTCTCCTTGATGATTTTTTGACTTATCATCAGTTCTTTTTGATCCACCGGCGTTGTACTGCTTGGGGTTCCCTCTGCTTTTGTTGACGTAGAGTGCTTCGTCCTCGCCTTTAAGACAGACTCCGTTCATTTGCTTAGCCAAGTCTTCCTAACCTGCTAGCAAATTCTCAAATTCTACAAGTGATGACTGATTTTGCCATCCTTGTACATCATCAATGAAGCTTCTATATTCAGGCTTCAGACCATGGATTATAATTCCCTTCATCCTCGTCTCTCCAATTGGAGCTTGTGGATCTAACTCTGAAATCTCTCGACATAACATCTTCACCTTATGAAAGTATTGTGCAATTGTCATGTTGCATTGTCCTATCGAGATTAATTCAGTCTCTAAGAGTTGGAGCCTTGTATCATTTTTCTTTTAACATAGATTGGCGAATGTATCCCAAGCCTGCTTTGGCGTGGTGGTGTCTCGTATGTGCTCTAGCACATCCTCTTCGGCCATTGTTTTCAAAGCGAATATAGCCTTACCAGCTTTTGTCTTCCACTTTCGCAGAGTGCCATTTGCATCTTCTACTGCTGGTTGTGTCACCTCGCTACCGTTGACAACCTCTCACAGATCTTGCCCTTGCATATAAGACATTGTGCAAGTTGACCATGTACTGTAATTGCTGTTGTTGAGCTTTATCATTCCGCCGACAGCTTGTAGGACTGTCATTGTGTCAGCAACAGAAGTCTCCAAAAAAAAAAAAACCCTACAGTAAATGATCTCCCAAGGAACAACCTTGCTCTTGATACCAAATGAAGAACTTAAGATACAATAAGCTCAAATAAAATATAATTGGAGGAGTCTGAGAAAATAGTTTCCAGAGAATAAGAACAACGGTCTTCGCTTGTATTCAGTCAGTTAATGATCTTATATAGACTTACAACTTTAATAGAGTCACAATCCCACTAAACCACTAACTAAATCCACTAACCTAACTCTCCTAAACTTTAGGGAAAAGCTATCTGCTACTCTAGAAAATAATAGAACATCCACGTACTAATAAAATATCAAAGTAACAACTAAACTAAGAAATAGTTATACTACAGAATTGGTCAAATTAAACTAGGAATGATGTTGTCAACTTTAATACTTTTTACTTCCAGCTTATTGATTATACTGATTTTAACTTATTTCAGTTTATTGCTTTCGTATTTTCTAGCAAAAGACTTAGTCAATGTTAGCAGCTTAATTTTTTGAAGTGAGAGGCTCTTTATGGCAAATTAGTGGGACATTTTCTTATTCAGTTTTTAAATTCAAATTTTCTCCATCTTAATGACATGCTGAAATTTTAATGAGTTTTTTGAGCTTTAATACTTCAATTCAGTTTTAGGAGAGTTCTATGTTTTAATACAAGGTAGCAGCTCTGCTTCAGATTTCGTGTCACAACGAGTGTTTATCATTAGGAGTGGCGGAAATAAGATCCTAAGTTGGTTCCACCATCAAGGAGTCAATAAAAGTTTATTACTCAATTTGCCAGAAAAATAGTATGTACCCCATAACAGCTTCTTGGGATTTGCTATATGTTACTATGGAAAATAGATTTACGCCTTTGTTGACTTGATTCTCTTATGTAATGATGAGATGTCCCAGGAACTAGATTCAGAAATATCGTGGATGAGATGGGTACTAGAAGTACCCGACCATCCACAATGTGACGAGAGTTCCCCAGTGAGAGGTATACTAGAATTGTCCGACCATTACGGATTTGATAGAGAATCTACTATTGAATTTTTCTTGGTACCTCTTGATAATGTATGGGATACATCCAAGACAAATGGGAAAACCCCAAATGACGATGGGTGTATTGGGTTATCTTTCTCTGAAAAAATGGAGGAGTATGAATTTCGTTTGTTGTATAAAGATGAAACTAAGCTTGAGGCCATGTTAAAAATGAAGAAAAATAATGATGAATCAATGGTTGGTTGTGCAATTGTGTTCATCAATGGGTGATGTACCTATCAACAGTAAATTTTTGTAAATTGATTTTCCATGTTGCCTCTGCTTGTGTTGAGTTAAAGGGTGTGATAGGATATTTTTCCTTTGTTACAAGATTGAGTAGCTCGTTTTTGAAACTTCACTCTTTTAATTTTGAACTTTTTCCCACAGAGACAGTTTTTTTCCACATGGCAATTATGTTTTTTTAAAAAGAGAGTTTGTAATACACACAACATCACATATTACTTGAGGTGTATTTTTTTTTAACTTATGAGTGATAGTTTGGGTGTGTTTCTCACACTTCCAATAGTTAGGTATAAACAAAAAAAAAAGTGATAGTTTAGATGTGTTTTTGATACATTAACTTAAAAACAAAGGAAGTAATAAGGTTGTAGCTATATTATTTAAGAGTACAAATGTAGAAAACTTTCTTTTTTGGACATTTATTATTTTTCAATACGACACAGCTTGGAGATTTAAATAGAAAGATTTTATTCTCCCCAAGGTACCCTAATTTCTTCTTCCTCCTCTATTATTGATTCTTCTTTTCCAAACAAAGTAGGACCATGGTGTTGTCTTCTTTAAAGTTTAAAGAGAGGGCCATGTGACTTTTTCACAAACTTTTTAAGAGTTTTTTTAATTAAATATAGCGGAAAAACTCAAAAATTTCATTCAATTATCACAAATGGCCTACATATTCATGTCATTCGTTAATAACCAGGAATAAAAATGAGCCAACGGTCACATGTTTGGCACTTTCATACCATTAACCATGCCCTAACGGCATACATATTGCGTTTAATAAGCTAATTTCTTGATTTTAATATACCAAATATGTCAAATGTCATCAATTTAAACCACCCACGTCCTCTAATTTATTCCATCTATTTTAACTCATTCCTTTTACATTTTAACTCGCCCCATGTTATAACTTGATCAAATTTTTTTTTATCAATTTAGTATTTTACTTAGTCGTACAGAGTATAAAATTGTTTGTTATAGTGATATCAGTTGCTCATCTAGGCTCGTGATTTTTCTTTATTCAGAAAGAGTTTCCACATAAAAATTTTGATATCATTATCATTATCACTTGTTGGTTCTCTTTTTTCAAGATATCTCTAGAATTCTATAATTTTTCATCTTTCTAGAAAAGGTGAAATATAATTAATACTTGAAAATTTATTTCTTAAATCATCTTCTTCCTGGACTATCTATTTTTAATAAATTACCGATGTTGAATTAATATATTTTACAATTTCAAAAATATTCTTTCCGAAAAATTGCCTCAAATAGGACTCATAATGTTTTTGAAGTTAACTAGTTTGCTAAAGGTGTACCTAATGAATAATGATGTTTTAGATTCAAAGTATATTGGAGGTAAAAATTATTAGGTAATTAATTTCCTTCAGCCTAAGTCTTATTAAACAATATCCATTAACTAAGATACAACCATTATGTAAAAAAGAAAACACTAAGAAATAATTTGTTGGACAAAAATTTATTAAACCTCCTTGGAAAACTAATATAGCAAAATTAGGAGTCTTTTTTCCTTTGGCAGAAAAGACAAGGGATATCAAAAATGATAATTACTTTTTTATTCTTAATTAAATATATTATGTTCGAGCCTGAATATAGAATGCCTTTCTTAGGAGCTTTTTATCCTCAATATTATAAGACTTTCTCACGTGAATCTGAACTAAGTCACACCCTGATATGGGCATATGATACTGAGTGGAATCAACTTGTATTTTGAGATATTTTCCAAGGTATAGTCCTTCTTTGCAGCTTCATCCACTTGTATTTTGAACTGTCCATATAGTTCATATTCATGTGGACCCCATAGAAATAATTGAATTTGATTGGAGTAGACACCATCTTCATGAAAGATTTTCATATTTGATGTCCTGTATATAACTTTGTGCCAAATATAATCAATTTTCTCAATCCACACAATTCTTATCTTTCTTCTCAAATTTCAACAAATTAACCGAATCAATGTCATCATCTTCTTCTTTTGTGAGCAGTTCACAGTACTGTCCTCGATGGAAGTATGATATCTTTCTGAGTTTTAGAGGTGAAGATCTCCTAAAATATTTACAGGTCACTTGTACAAAGGTTTGAAAAACAGGGGAATATTTACCTTTCAAGATGATAAAAAGCTAGAGCATGGTGATTCGATTCCAGAAGAACTCTTGAAAGCTATCAAAGAGTCTCAAGTTGCCCTTGTCATTTTCTCAGAGAATTATGCTGCATCGAGGTGGTGCTTGAATGAACTAGTTATAAAGACTGGGTATAAGTTGAAAGACGATAGTTTATTAATGAAGATAGAAAGTTGCTTAAATAGAATTACAGCGGAAAGACTCCTAAACGAACTGAAGTAATAAAACCTAACTAGACAATAACTGCTGAAACTTAATCCTAAATAAACAGGGATAGTGACTGCTCAAACTTAATACGACTAAATAACTAAACTGACTCGTGATGTTCCAATACGCCCCCTCAAGTTATGCAATGGGTCACTAAGACTAACTTGAAAAGATTATTCTCAAATGCAAGTTTAGGCAGTGCCTTGGTGAGAGTGTCGGCTATTTGATTGGCACCATGAACATGAACAACACGAACCCGTTTGGTGTCAACATGATGGCGAACAAAGTGAAAGTCCACGGCAGCATGCTTCACACGACTATGGAGGACAGGATTCTTGCTTAGGAATATGGCTCCAAGATTGTCACAATATATTGTGGGCAACTGATGGAGTGGGAATCGCAGCTCATTTAGAAGGTTGGTGACCCATAAGGTTTCAGAAAGAGCACTAGCTACTGCCCTATACTCAGACTCGGTGGAAGAGCGTGAGACAGTATTTTGCTTCTTTGAAGACCAGCAAATCGGATTGTGACCAAGGAACATAATATAACCAGATGTAGAAACTCTGTCAGTGATGTCTCCACCCCAATTTGCATCAGAGTACACATGTAGATTGAAGTCATCAATGGGAGTAACCCGTAGGCTGAGATGAATGGTACCACACAGGTATCAAAGGATGTGCTTCACAGTTTTCCAGTGAAGGTTTGATGGTGCTTGCATGAATTGAGACAGCTTGTTGACTGCATAGGCTATGTCCGGTCTGGTGAAAGATAGGTATTGAAGTCTGCCCAAGACTCGACGATAACATGTGGTATCAGTCAGGTGAGTATCATCAGATAAGACGGGTAACTCAGAGGCACTCATTGTTGTGTTGATACTCTTGCAGTCATTCATTAGCTCATTATTTAAAATCTCGTTCACATAGTTTGCTTGGGTGAGAATTAAACCACCAGAGCTACGTAGCACTTTAACACCAAGAAAGTAGGGAAGATTACCTAAATCTTTAATAGAGAACTGAGAAGCAATGAAGGTGATAGCCTGATTGACACTGAAGGTGTTGCTCCCAGTGACAATAATATCGTCGACATAGACAAGGACAAATAACGTGTCACCTAGACCATGTCTGAAAAAAAGCGAGGCATCTGACTTTGTCTTAACAAATCCTATGGATGAGAGATAACCCGTGAGGGCATTGTACCACACCCGAGGAACCTGTTTCAAGCCATAGATCGCCTTGTGCAGACGACATATATGTGTTGGCTTGTCATCACTAATAAACCCAGGAGGTTGTACCATGTATACTTCCTCATCTAGGTTGCCTTGGAGGAAATCATTATTGACATCAAGTTGACGTAGGTGCCAATTATGATGAAGTGCAACAGAAAGGACGATGCGAACTATGGTTGGCTTGACGACTGGGCTGAATGTGGCATGAAAATCAATGACCAACCTTTGGGTGAAGCCTTTTGCAACCAGACGCGCTTTGTATCTGTCGATGGTACCATCTGCATTCCTTTTGATCCTGAAAAGCCATTTTAAAGATACAATATATTTTGTTGGGTCAGGAGGAACAAGTTCCCAAGTCTGGTTCTTTATAAAAACATTAAGCTCCTGTTTCATTGTGTTACGCCACTCGGGATATTTTTGTGCTTGTTTGAAAGTTGTGGGTGTGATGGTGGGGTTCAAGTTGGCTAGGTAATCAAAAATTCTTTTGGGTTTGGTGATGTTGTTTTGGGATCGAGTGATAGCACGGGTAGAAGGAGATGGGCAGTGAGGCAGTGAAGGAGTGAGCTCCAACTCGGGGATAGGATAGGATGGTTGAGGAGCCAAGGGTGTTGATGGTTTGGTATTTCTGCGTTGATAGACAAGTAAATGAGGCAAGCTGGTGTGCGTGTTCGCAAAGATAGTAGGTTAAGACGGGGGGTTCTGGGAAGTGGAAATTATAGAAGGTGAGGGAGTTAAAGACTTACCTGGAGAAGGAGAAGTTGCGAGAGGTGAAGCTGCTTCTGCCACTGGTGCATTGTCGGAGGAGGACTGTGAGTTTGAGTTGTCTTGGGACTTGGCTGGAGAAGAAGCAGCCATTGATGAGGAATCTGTTTTGCGTACTTCTATTTCTAATGGAGGGGGAAGATCTGTACTTAAAGGAAGTTTAAATGTGGGGTCGGAAGAATTGGAAATTGTGGTTGTTTCAAATTGTAGGGGAGTCGCTTTACTGGCAAGGTTGGAGAACAAAGTTTTAAATGGAAAAATATTCTTAACAAATCGCATGTCTAGAGATAAATACACCTTTGCAGAGATTAATGACAATGATGAGACAAGAAGAATCCAAGATAGACACACGGGGTATATTTTGGTTCAAGTTTATTTTTGGAGTATGGTTTAAGCCATGGATAGCATAAACAACCAAAAGTACGTAGAGAGCTATAATCAGGTGATTTTCCAAGTAATATTTGGAATGGGGATTTATTATCTAGGTGGGAGGTGGGCAGACAGTTGATGAAGTAGACAGTGTGATGACATGCGAAGGATCAAAATTGGGTTGGAAGGGACACCTCATGTAAGAGTGTTCTTGCAGTTTCAATGATATGGCGATGTCGTCGTTCTGCAAGTACAACTCGTTGAGGCGTATAAGGTGGGGTGGAAAGGTGTTC